AAATCAGAAAGATTTAATGAACATTAACGCAACAGAAATGAAAAGAAAACCCAGAAACAAAATGTACTCAGCCCAGAAAATCATGTGGAACAAAGAACCCAGCAGTATCACAAAAAACAAAAACACACAGAAGAATGACAGCCATCAATCCACACCTAATTCTAACTACACTGAATGTATACGGAGTAAACATACCAGTCAAGAGACATAGAGCAGGATGGATAAGCAAACGGGATCCTTCAATATGCTGTCTACAAGAGACATAGCAAAAAGACGGAGACAACCTAAACACCCATCAACAGAAAAATGGTTAAACTTTTGTACATACACAGAAATGGAATACTACAAAACACTGACTAATGATGAATCTATGAAACACCTCATACAACGTGGTTAAACTTGGAGGACATTAGATAAATAAAACTTTTGTTGTTGTTAAGTGTCGTCGACAATCACAAAAGGACAAATATTATGAGACCACGGTTATAAAAAGTTAAGAGAAGGTTTTCTTGATGGAAGAAGCAATCTGTGACAGCAACAGAGGGGTGTGGTGGAAGGTTAATTGTTCACAGGGTAGGGGATAGACACACATTACCATGGGTGACAGGGCAGGCAATATACAAGCAGGGGGTTCGCAGAGGAAAGATGAAGGCAACAGGAGACACAGGGAGGAAATGCAATAGTCACAGTGAACAGAGGTAAATTCTGTTAACTGTTGGTACATGGAGGGGACCACAACCATGTAATGAAGCAAAGTGTATGATTTGTTGAATTTAAAACTGATGATCTGCTCTGTAAACCTTCACTCAAATCTAAAAAGTTGAAAGAAAAACTCAGGACATATTCGTGCATCCTACTTTAACAATGAGACAAATCCCCATTGACTCTGTCTGCTAAGCGATGAGATGTTTCCTGGTCTGTGGAGTACAGGGAGGAGGGGCTGCGGGTTGGGGAGCCCGGGTGGAGGAAGCAAACCTGAGGGTGAGACTGCCACCTGCTGGACAGCGTCTTCAAACTTCTGCCATCGCAGTCCGGCGCCAGGCAGTGCGCTACAGAACAGGCCGCCCCTGTAGTCCAGGCACCAGAGGTACTTCTCGGAGACCGCTAGGCTGAGGATGCCGTAGCCGGGACCGGAGTAGCCCATCCAGCTCTCTGCAAACTGACAGGGACAGAGCGTGAGGTCATCCCTGTGAGGGCCCTTTCACACCCCTGGGTGTGAGTATTACAGACTCCAAACGTCTGTGAAACATCATCAAATTCCCCAGACGTCCTGCACGCAGGTTTCTGTTCGGGGGTCACTGCTCCACTGTCCCCACCATCAGACACACAGCATGTCGTGGGAGAAGGCTGTGGAGACTCTGCAGGGACACCCTGCCTCCTCCAATTGGCCGCTGGGAGTCTTTTAACACTTGAAGATAAATAGAGTCTTATACTTCAGTCATTTCCTAAAATTGCACAGGAAATCAATACCACATACCGAGGTTGTGTGCTTCAAAGGCAATGGTGTCCATCCTCCTCCGCCTGACCTGTTTTCCAGAGCTTTCTCCACTGCCTTAAGTTTCCCTAACCTTGGGCTTTCCTGTTACCTGGGGTGCAGTGGGGAGGACTCTGAACTCCTCCTACCAAAATCTCTGACCTAGAACCCCTGTCCAGCCTCCTGATGAGTGCTCCATTACTGAGGACACGGCTCCCAGGCCTATGTTCATGTCCTCCTGTGAGGGGGGTCCACTTGGGCTAACACCAAGCAGAGCTTGGCATGAAGGATGGGCAATCGAGCAATGGATGACCACAGGCCACCGGCCACTGACCTTCCTGAGCCTCCTCTGTAAGACGCAGCACTACAGGACCTCTGAGAGCTTGTTTTGGTTTTAGAGAGACCCAGGAATTCATGTATGGAGCGGTTCACTGAGAGTCTCAAGGTCCTCCGAAGATGAATAAGTTCATACTCATCTCGATCCAGACATGACCCCTACACTCCACAAGAAAAGCTAGAAGACATGGCCAGTATTGAAGCACACCCATCTACAGTGATGGTCACTCATTATGGAAAGCCAGCGCTGCTCCATCTCCCCGTGGTCTATGAAATGCCCAGTGTGGCCACTCACTGTCACTGACAGGGTCCAGCCTGGCTGCTGCTCTAGAAGTCAGGCCCCAGGTCTTGGGGAGGATTTGGTGGAGACGCCTGACCGAGCTGTCTCTACCTCCCAGGTGCCTTGTGCTTTCCCACTGCTGGAGTGGACAGTCCTCTGCTCACCAGACAAGGCCCAGCCAGTCCCTCTCTGTCAGGACAAACACTGAGCACTGGCCAGGACCTGAGTGTGCAGGGAGGACTCCCCTGGTGTAAGGGTCTACAGCTGCCCAGAGGTATGCAGGAGGAGTAGGATTTTGCAATAAGAGGAAAAGACTCTATCTTGCCAGAAAGCGGTCCCTGGTGCATGTCCCATGTCTGGGCCAATGTACCTGGTCAGCTTTCAGCAGCCCAGTGGCGTCTGCACCTGGCCGGTCCCCATCTGGGAGTGAGCGGCCGTCTCCGAGCTCCATTCCGCTGGCCTCCGAGGATGGCGAGGGAAGCCCGTGGGCATAAATGTCCTCCTCGTCACTGGACGTGGACACCTGGTCCTGGGACAACTGCTCGTGCTGAGGCCTGGGGATGCTGAGCGCTGGGACAGAGACCAGAGGTGTCAACTCTCCTCCCAGGCTCCCTGAGTCTGTCCAACCTGTGCCACCTGCAGGAACATCATGCCAGGCATGTGGGCCAGTGAGGAGGCCCTGACCCTCACTGGGCTCTGAGGCATGGCCTTCGTGAGTCCCAGGCTCAGTCAACAGCTGCTCCGCATGCAAAGCCGCACAGAGGCTGGAAGGCACAGCTAGAGGGTCCAGAAAGGGGGCTTCATACGACACACTCGGGGGGTCAGTGGGTTCCACGTTCTCAACCTCGTGCGACTCAGCAGAGCTGTCCCGTTCCTGGAAGGGTGACCGCTCGTGGCTGGGCCCATCCTTTGTGGAAGCTGGCTCCTCTCCAGGGTCTGTGTCCATGTCATCCCCCAGGAACAAAGCAGCATTCTGTCCTCCTTGGATTGGGTCCCTGTCACCCACCAGGTCACACAACGGGGTTTCAGTTCTGTCCTCGAGCTCCTCACCCAGGAACTCAGGGGTGGCCTCGGGGGCCTCCAACACACTAAATGTCTCAGAGTCGTTGCTCTCTGGCAGGCCACTGTTCCGCTCAAGGGACACTGTGCTCAGCTGGTCCACGCTGCTGCCCAGGGACAGCAAGTCTGAGGTCAGGGACTGGGGGCTCCCACTGGGAAGTTCGCAGCACGGTGTTGACTCCAGGGAGCTGTGGCAGGTGCTTCCACCCCCGCTTTCTGGTTTAAAACAAGAGAATTGTAAATGAGTAGTGAGAGACTAAGTAAAACACAAAATGTCTGCTCAATGACGTACGAGTTCTGCATGAAGGATTTTTAGCAGGTGAAGACAAAACAGTCAGGAAGGTTTTGTGAGCAAGTACCACACACCCATGGGCTCTGAGGCCACACAGAAACGTTAAATTGGGAAATCAAAGTGAGACAGTGAGTTGTACAAACAGCTAACAGGCCAATGTTAGCTAACCCAAACCAGGCCCTCTGCTGTCGATCCGGTTCTAATTTACCACGGTCCTGGAATACCGAGCACAACTACACGTCAGGCTTCCGAGGCTGTCAATCTTTATGGAAGCAACTGCCTGTGGAGCAAGTGGTGGGTCTGAATCACTGACCTTCCAGTTAGCAGGCCAGCACTTAATCCACTGCTCACCAGAGTTCCCTGAACTGCCCCCCTGCCATCAAGTTAACGCTGACTCACAGTGACCCTGCAGGGCAGAATCAAACTGCTCCCAGAGTCTCTGAGACTGTAAGTCATTCTGGGGGCAGACAGCCTCCTCATTCTCCCACACAGCAGCTGGTGGGTTCAAGCTACTGGAAGAGGCAGTACCCGGCTAGCAGTCCAGAGTTTAACCCACTGTGCCACCAGGGCTACTTGCTCCTTTAGTGAGAATTTAATAGGTGCCAAGGAGTGAAAGGACTTCAGGTGTGGCGCTGTAGGTCACCACTGCACTGTGAGCCACAAGGTCAGAAGTTCAAACCCACCCACTGCTCCTCAGAAACCCTATACAGTGTCGCTATGCGTCAGAACTGACTCAATGGCATTTAACAAGAGGAGTGAAAAGTTAAAACGTTCAGTGTTAAATCCCATATTTGGTAACATACCCACCACAATAGATAAGATGTTCCATCTAGGGGGCAGTTTAAATTTGTTTCTATTTCCAAGATTTCTCACCCAAGTTGATGAATCTTCTGGTTTGATAAATGGCACATATGGATAAGTTCTATTGAGGGAGGGGTGGATCACTTCCGGAAGCCCCTCTGCTCTCTGAAGGAGGGGTGGATCACTTCCGGAAGCCCCTCTGCTCTCTGAGGGAGGGGCGCATCACTTCTGGAAGTCCCCCTGCTAAGGGAGGGTTGGGTCACTTCTGGAAGCCCCTCTACTCTCTGAGGGAGGGGTGGGTCACTTCTGGAAGCCCCTCT